GGGCGGGCGGCGCCCCCTCCTGGCTGCCCGGCGCGTTGCACCGGGACCCCCGGGGGCGGGACGGGGCCCCCACCCCCGGGCGCCCGCACCCTCGACGCGGCCAGAGCTCCTCACACCCAGATCCCCGCTTCATCCAGAGCCCGAGGTTCCAGGACCCCGGTTCACCCCGATTCTAGGGTGCCTGGATCCTGGCGGCACCTGGGTCCTGGGTCACCCAGACCCACTAGTGCATCATTGACCCCGTATGGCCAGAGCTCCCCATGCGTGCACAGCCCAGCTGCATCCAGCTCCCAGGGCACCCAACTCCCAGGTGCACCAGACCCCAGCTCCCAGGTGCACCCAGACCCTGAGGCACCCAGATCCAGGTTCACTCAGCCTCCCAGAGCACCCCCCAGAGAACCCAGGCACCTGTACGGCCAGAGCCCCCCATGCATCCACATCCCAGGTGCACCCAAACCCTGGGGCACACAACTCCCAGGTACACCCAGACCCTGGGGCACCCGGATCCCAGGTGCACCCAGACCTCAGTGCATCCAGGCCCCAGCATGCCCAGACTCCCGGTTCCTCCAGCTCTCCGGCATGCCCGGCCTGGCCCCCGCGGCGCCCGCAGCCCCTGTTGCCCACGGCCCCTCCGGCACCAGGCACTCACAGATGTAGTAGTAGGTCTCCCCCGGCTGGAACTCAAAGCCGAGCGGGAAGGGCGAGAAGCGCTGGATCTTCTCAGAGAAGCGCACGGGCCCAAAGGGCGCGTGGGGCCGGTTGCACTCCCAGCGCTTGAAGGCGCTGGGTGTCGCGTAGCAGCCGCGATAGCCCTCGCGGTCCACCATGAAGAGCGTGAAGGTCTCAGCGCGCCCACCAGGCGCCGCTCCCTCGTAATGGGGACAGTAGATGTCCAGGTGGTCATTGATGGACACCTGCACGGCGTAGTCGTCCCGCAGGAACCTGCCGGGCGGCGGGGAGCTGGGCGCTGCTGGCCCCACGCGCTCGTGATCGCTCCGGGTCGGCAGTGCCGACAGCGGCCATGGCTGAGCAAACCCATCACACACATGGGACAGGGCTCCTGGCATTGCCCAGGCTGCTCCTGGGTTGGTTCAGGCAGGGCAAAGGGTCCCAGGGCCTTGGGACCATGCACAGGAATGTAGTGGCATCGGCACCCTCCACCCAGCCGGGTGCACGGTCACCTGCTGCACTTTGGGGTGCTGTAGATAGGACCCCTGGTCCTGGGGGCACCACCATGGTTGGTGGCTAGATGCCACCAGCTTGATGCCACCCACGAGTGACTGCAAGCTGGGTGCCCATGAGGCCCCAGGTCACCCAGGGGGTCCCATTGCTTCGGTGCCACTCAGCGCTGCCCACAGGTCCCTGGTCATTGGCACCCAGGGATGCTCAGTGCCTTGATGCCCCCCAGGGCCTTGGAGACTCCCCTTTGTGGTCACCCTGGGCTGCCCAGATGCCCAGATCCCCCCAGTCAGTGTCCCTGGTTGGTGCCCTGTGGCTCATAGCCT